TGCTGCTGCGGTGCGTGGCCGCGCTGTTGTTACCGCTTAATTCTCTCCACTCTTCAATTTGCTAGAACATGGTCAGCGATCGTCATCACCCCACATCAGCCCCCCCCGCCGCCACCACCACTCATTACACACAAAGTGCTTGCCACAAATGGACCACAATCCCTCGCTGATCTCAAGGTGCATAAATCATCAGCACGCGAACTCCGTTAATCCTCGCAGCAGCGGTTTTTGGCTAAGCCACCGAACAAAGACGGCCACCGCATCGCGCGCTTTCAGATGCGCTTCTGTGGCCGTCTGGAACGCTCTTCCTTCCGATATTAAGAAGCCACCGGAGCTATGCACTTTTAAATCTAGAATGAAAACTAATTTCTTTAGAACTGCTTTTTGTGATTAGTTCGTTGTCCTTCCCCCGCACCTCGGTTGGCTAGGGACGGTTGGCTACGTACGGCGCGAAAGAAGTTCAACGTACATACAGAGAATCGGCACTGCATTTTTTTTTATCCTTGCTACTGGCGAGTACAATTTTTTTTTGCATTGAACGGCACCCTGTGGTTTAAATGGGGTGCTCCTGCCAACATCATCTGACAATTCAGCAGCATTTGTTCTGTTGTTGCGCGTGATGGCAGTGTGGTCCGGGAGCTGATGCCAGTGTCGAGGTCTGCTCGCCGCGAGAGGGCTTCAGGAGAGAGTTCGTTGTGGTTTCGTTATTCGTCCGTGACAGGAGCGCAGACTACAGGGTGCTTCAGATTTCTTGTGATCCTCCCCCCTCCCCCCCCCCCCAATTAATTGACCCCGAACATTTGTTTCCTCTGCACATTCATTTTAGTTTTAAATAAACCTCACTTTGAAAATTATATTTCTATTTTTGCGTTTTCGGGAATTAAATGAAGGGGTCACAAGACATCTGGACCAGCCTGTGCAGTGGTTCACGATACGGTCCACAGTTCGAGTTGCATGGCCACAATCGCACTGCTTGTGGGCGTTGTCTTTCATTTTCCATTCATGAAGGAGATGTCCTCATCGGTCTGGTGATGCATTCGTTGAACAAGCATGACTCTGTCGAAGAGACTCGCAACTGTGCAAACCGGTCCAGAGTTTGCACCGATGCTCCATGAATATTTTCTACAGTAATACCCCGCTTTACGTCGGGGATGCGTTCCTGAAATATGCGACGACGAATGTCGGAAACGACGTAAGTCGAAGCGATTTACAGGGCAGTAGGTGGGGGCGAAGGCTGAGAGGCGACGGATAACGAGAAAGGACGGATGATGATGCTGCTGTCAGCGACGTAAGTGTGGGGTTGAGGCGACGCCACATCGGGTAGCGGTGTTAATAAAGCGACGACGTATTTGCGAAACGACGTCAAAGGGCGAAGACGTTTGACCTTATTTCAGTTCTGTTGAGGGTGGGGATGAGGATGGGGTGGGGGCCGTGGGGTGGGGGGCAGGGCAGGGCGGGCGGGGGAGAAGCCGGCCTCACGTTGGTGCCAATTCTCACTCCAAACGCCAGGCGCGGCTCAGCGGAGCTCGCGAGCCGCGCCATGGAATCTCCATCACAAAGCCACCGTGCTTGCCGCGGTCTCAAAAGCTCCATTTATCTCCCATTGCCGTGATGAGAAGAAGCCTTCACTCGGCTTATCCTGGCTGGGCGTGGTTTTTTTTCTCTCTCTCTCCCTCTGTCGGTCTCTCTTTCCTCTTTCTATTTTATTTTATTCGCCCCGTTCATCTGCGGTATTTACTTTCATTTCACAGAGGCCGCGCACACAAAGGGAGGGCTTTAAGGGATAATTCGCTCAAACAAATGAAATAACATCAGGCTTTTTTATTTTTTTGCGCGTGTAATTATTTTCCGACGAATTTCCACAAAATCTGGCGGGGGATTTATCCTTTTTTTAAGTTGGACAAAGAAACAACCGTGGCAAATGTTTGATTTAGATTGCCAAGGGCTGGCAATTGTCGTAAATTTCTGGCAGTCCTCAATATGAACTACCCACAATTCATAGCTCTTGAAATGCCACCGCGGACTGTAATTGCCAAAATGATCTCCCTCACTTTTTTGTTCTTCTAGTCTTTGCAGGACATCCATTGTCCAAAATGTAGATTTTACTTTCAAAATTCTATATTCAGTAATAAGGTGGTGGTTCAGACAGTTTTTTTTAAGGTTACGCTTTATGATTATTTCAAGAGTTCAGCATCGCTGACGTGCCAGAGGTGAACCTAACTTGGTTTGGCTCCATAACGTAACAGCGTTTTCTTTTATCAGGACTGACTCCTGATGAGACTCAAAATGTCGAAACCCGCCCCAGAATTGTCTTCTTTTCAACAAACAAATTCTGCGATGAATCACTGGTCTGGAAGACCAGTAGGCCGATGGACAATCCAAAATTAAATTTGTTAATGCAGACAGACTTCATTTTTTTTCATTGCTTTCCAACTTAAAAAAAAACACATAGGGTGGCCCCAAACCTCGCAAACACAAATCAGAGCGACAAAATCATTCACAGCGAGCAACTCACGGAGAATTCCGAGCGATAATTAAACTCTCCCCAAGCGTTACACAATCCACGCACGAGCATACCTAATCAGTGTCCTTGTATTGTCATTCTTTAACATTCATCTGCTCGTTCAGAGCGCCATTGCACGCACCAGAGATGACAGCGTTGCAGACGGACGCCGTCGCGACCAATCACGAACGCGCTGTCGCCTGCTGTTCCACCGCTCCGTGAGTACTCGTCACGATCAGGCGGGGGAGCCGTCACCGTGGGGTGACGCGGGGTCAGCGCAGCGGACTTGCAATGTCGAGTCCGGGTGGTTTCGACCTCCCGGGAGAGGCAGTGAAACCCCCCCTCTTGTCTACCCAGCAGAATAAATGAAGCACTCTTCCCCACCTCTTCCAGCGTGGAAGAGTAGACCAAAGGAGGAGAAGGGGGGGGGGGCTCCATGGAGCTCCGTCTACTGGAGGAGGCTTTTGCGATCAGCGGCTTTGGTAGAGGCTTGCGCCTCTACCAAAGCTTTTCCCTTTTATTCGCGACATCGACCAATGAATTGGCACTTTACCTGAGGGCACGATGAATGGGGCTTTCGGCGAGAAAAAAAACACGGGGCGGGTAGAGAGATGCAAATGGAACTTTAATTTGTCGCGCAAGGCAATTATTTGGTGAGTGGGGTGCCTCGGTTTCAATGCACAATGCGCTTAGTGCCTCCCACCCACCCACGCGCTTGGCTCGCCCCGTGCTTCGCGCGGGTCTCCATCGGTTAGCGTTCCTCCTTCCTCCGTAATCCCTCCGCTCATTTATTTATCGTCTCCTTATTACCGTGCGCAAATCGAGTAATGAGCTCACCACCACCACGTGTACATACAAAGATTGAAAAGAAATTCCCCTCCCCCGCCCTCCGTGAAGCTCTAACAGACTGTTTGGGGACAAGTGCTGTTAGCGAGCAGCACCTACGAAGGCCGGCAAGGTACACGAAGAGTGAGGGTTTGACCAGAACCACGCCCGGCCGCCTTTGCCTCCCTCGTGGTGCGCTAACCACGAAACTACCATTCAGACAGACGTACACACACACGCATGCATACACACAAACACACTGTAACGCAAATTCGGAGATCCCCGTTGAACCATGCAGACTGTTGGAGCAAGGGCTGTTAGTGAGCACCTTTGAAAGTCGGCAAGGAAAACGGGTGGTGTGGCTAATCCCACGGCCGGCCGCCTTTATATCACGAAATAGATGGCCAAGAATCGGTTCAGATATATTTGCCAGCGATGTTTGCTGGCCGTGGGGCGGGAATCCAATTGGGGTCGCCGGTTTTGTAGCGCAGTGCGCTAACCACTACACTACCGCTTTAAAAAGACAAAGATCCCCCATATAGCCTTACAAAAACTGTAGGGGTAAGTGCTGTTAGCGAGCACCTATGAAGGCCGATACGGCCTTCGTCTCCCTAGTGGCGATGTTCACACATCGCACCAGGTACTCATTTGAGGCTGAGTCGACCTAGGGAAGGCCCAGGACCGGTTCAGAAAATCGTCACTGATGTTGACCGTGAGCAGTAATCGAACCCGGGTCGCCGGGTTCGTAGCGCAGCGCGCTAACCGCTACACCACCGCTTCCCACACACAGACACGCTCACACTGGGACACACAGATACACACTCACACACGCGTACACCCGGTCTAAACAAAAACTTCACCTCGTACTGGCGCACGATCGTCGCGTAACTCGACGTCATGCAGCAGTGGTTTAATCACGACCGATGTGATGTATTATCATACACGGTAATGGCAACGAGACACAGCATTACATACACGCAATCCCACGTTTGTTTCACAGACTGCAGGGGCAAGGACTGTTCGCGTACACCAATGATCGGGCAAGTGCGGCACACCAGGCAGGGGCTGGTCTGGCCAGCGCTGCGCCACGCAGGGCCGCCTTTGTCTCCCTGCCTTTAGCGCTGATGCTCGCACACTGCACTGGGGCATCGCCAAACCCATCTGTGCGGCCCTGTGCGTGTTCTGCCCATGGGTTTACTCGTGGTATTCTTTGTCTCCTCTCACACACACACACAAAGGTGCAGATTTAAAATAAAATTGACGTCAATCTCGATACAGCACCCTTCTGAAACTACGTACCGAAATTCAGGGAAGTTTTTTTTAATCCATAAATTACACGGTTATTGTGAATATAATTAGTACTTTTAAGGCTGGGTTAGCCGAGGGAAAGCGTATGATGACAGGTGAAAATAATCACTGATCTTGTCCGTGATTGGGAATCGAACTGGGGTCTGCGGATCCGTAGCGCAGTGCGCAACCCATTGCACACCAGACAAATACAGAGATCCCCTGTATAGCCTGAGCAGACTTTTGGACCAAGTGCTTTGTCAGCGAGCACACACACACGCACACATCTGCAATACTCGATAGCAAAACTTTGCACTTGATCCGCTTCATCAAATTGCACCCCAGGTGAATCAAGGAGGCAGGTGAGTGAGCGAGTGAGTCTCACCTTTACACCTGCCCGGTCTTGTAATGAGCAGCCCACGCGGCGGCGGCGAGACGATGAGTGATCTCCCGCCTGCTGCTGCTGCTGCTTCTCCAGCCCTCTCCCTTCTCCGTTCAAGCTCTCTCCTCTCCCGGCCTGCCTCTCTCCCTCTCTCTCTCTCCCTCCTCCCTCTCTCTCTCTCTCCCGCTCTCTCTCTCCCCACTTATGTTGCTGCTACCAGCTCCGTGCAGTAGCAGCAGCAAACGATGCAGTTGGGTCAGCGAGTCCGACTCGATATCCAGCACTGCGGGCTCCTCCCTAAACGCTCACCCCGCCTCGCACTCCTTTGCGTAGCCTGATACCCGCTCACCACCCACGCGCCCGCTCACTACCCACGCGCCCGCTCACCACCCACACGCCCGCTCACCATCACACACCAATTAAACCGTCATACATACTCACCCTCCCACCTACTCATCCTCCTGCTCACCCTTCTACCCACTCACTCATCCTACTCACACCCGCTCACCGACCCACCCACCCCGAATCCCCCCACTCCTGCCCCCATAACTCACATTCTCTCTCACTCACCATCTCACTCACCTCCCTTACCTCATCGTCCACCATCCCCCCTCAATATCCAACATGAACTCCACCTCTACACGAGAACTCCCACTCTTCCTTTCCCAGAACAATGGAGGCAGCATCCACGATGGTCACCAATTACCTGGCAGAATCACCTCGATCGGTAGCGTCACGGTGGTGGGATGTTAACTACCTCGCCTGGTATACAGGAGGTCGTGGGTTCGACCCCGACCCTGACGCCTGCTGCTGTATATTTGGAGTTTGCGTGTCTCTTTCCCCGTGCTCGCGTGGAATTTTCTCCCGGGTCCTCCGGGTTTCCACTCCACATTTAGAATCAACATCACGCGTTTAGAGTATTTGGCTGATATGCATTTCCACATGATAAGCCACGATAATTTGTAGCCGGGTTGCTTCTGAAAAAAGAGCTATGTAGCTCCGTGAGGCCTTACCTGGTAACATTAAAATAGTTTCGTAAATAGATTGGTTCTATCCCAGCAGGCTGCCAGGGATTTCTGCAGGGAACTGAGCAAATGCCTCGCCTTCTGTTGTTAGGTGGATGTTAAAGACCCGTGTTTTTGACGAAGGAACGGGCTCAAGGAAACACGTCCTGAGCCATCACCGCTGTGACCCTGCGTTCAAATCCGGGTCTCAGCCCCCCGTGCTTAAACCGGGTTCTCAACGTGATGTGTGGCACCGAGATATTGACTCCCATTGAATCCTCCCGTCCTGGGCCTTAAACCCCAAGGTATCACCAGGCACCAACACGCCATTCCCCAAGCATTTAACATTTCGGTGAGAAACACCATCCTGAGCTCTTGGAAGAATCATAGGGCGCCTCATTCACCCTCTAGCACAACTCCCTCACCTGAGTCTGAAACTGACGAATATGGAATGGGAGTTAACCCAGATCTGGGGCCCCCTCGTGGATTCCACTCCAGAGACCCTGAGTTTGCTTGACTGAACTTTAAATGAGACTGATCCCCCCCCCCCCCCCCGTCTCCCCCCCCCCCCTCTTTCCTCCTCCCACCCCCTCTTCCTTCCCCTCTTTCCCCCACCCCCCTCTTTCTCCCCCTCCCCCCGTTCCCCCCTTCCCCCCATCTTTCCCCCCTCCCCCCCTACTCTTTCAACCCCTCCCCCCCCCTCTTTCCCCCCCCCTATTTCCACCCCCCCTCTTTCCACCCCCCTCCCCCCCTCTTCCACCCCCTCCCCCCCTCCCCCTCCCTCTTTCCCCCTCCCCCCCCTCTTTCCCCCCCTCCCCCCCCTCTTTCCCTCCCTCCCCCCCTCTTTCCCCCCTCCCCCCCCTCTTTCCCCCCCTCTTTCCCCCCCTCCCCCCCCCTCTTTCCCCCCTCCCCCCCTCTTTCCCCCCCTCCCCCCCTCTTTCCCCCTCCCCCCCTTTCCCCCCCTCCCCCCCCTCTTTCCCCCCCTCTTTCCCCCCCTCCCCCCCCTCTTTCCCCCCTCCCCCCCCCTCTTTCCCCCCCTCCCCCCCTCTTTCCCCCCCTCCCCCCCTCTTTCCCCCCCTCCCCCCCCTCTTTCCCCCCTCCCCCCCCTCTTTCCCCCCTCCCCCCCCTCTTCCCCCCCTCCTCCCCTCTTCCCCCCTCCCCCCCCTTTCCCCCCTCCCCCCCCCCCTCTTTCCCCCCCTCCCCCCCTCTTTCCCCCCCTCCCCCCCTCTTTCCCCCTCACCGCCCTCTTTCCCCCCTCCCTCCCCCCCTCTTTCCCCCCTCTCCCCCTCTTTCACCCCTCCCCCCCTCTTTCCCCCCCTCTCTCCCCCCCCTCCCCCCCTCTCCCCTCCTCTCTCCCCCCTCTCCCCCCCTCCCCCCCTCTCTCCCCCCCTCCCCCCCCTCTCTCCCCCCCTCCCCCCCTCTCTCCCCCCCTCCCCCCCTCTCTCCCCTCCTCCCCCCCTCTCTCCCCCCCTCCCCCCCTCTCTCCCCCCCTCCCCCCCTCTCTCCCCCCCTCTCTCCCCCCTTCCCCCCTCTCTCCCCCCCTCCCCCCTCTCTCCCCCCTCTCTCCCCCTCCCCCCCTCTCTCCCCCCCTCTCTCACCCCCTCCCCCCCTCTCTCCCCCCCTCCCCCCCTCTCTCCCCCCCTCCCCCCTCTCCCCCCCTCTCTCCCCCCCTCCCCCCCCTCTCCCCCCCCCTCCCCCCCTCTCCCCCCTCTCTCCCCTCCTCCCCCCCTCTCCCCCCCTCCCCCCTCTCTCCCCCCCTCTACCCCCCTCCCCCCCTCTCTCCCCCCCTCTTTCCCCCCCCTCTCTCCCCTCCTCTCTCCCCCCCCCTCTTTCCCCCTTCCCCCCTCTCTCCCCCCCTCTTTCCCCCTTCCCCCTCTCTCCCCCCCCCCCCTCCTTCCCCCTTCCCTCCCCGAAGAGAAGGGATCTGACGCACGTACCGCATCATACCAAGGTCCTACACGTCCGCGTTCGTTGTCTGTCCGAGCCGCCGATCCCGCTATGCATCACTCACCTGTCGCGGAAGTAATACATTTCCCCCCTCCACCCCCACGTGGTTGGATCAATAAAAAATATTTACACAAAAAACGGATTCTCAAGTGGAGCGACTAGATGTTGTCAGACCGGTCACCGAATATCTGCACCGTCACACACTCCAGAGTGCCCAGAATCAAACATGTGTATTTGTGGATACAAGGTCCATTTATTGGATCCCGGAAGTGGTTCTTTGATATCACTTTCCGCGGGTTGTTCTCAAAAACACCGAGTGAGGAATTCCTCTTCGAGAGATGCAATTTTACACAACGCCAAGGGCGCATTTTGAAATAAACTTGGAGACGTGTTATTGTAATTTGTATTTTATTTTTGAATGCGGTTTGATTTTCACATTTCTGCGATTTACTTTGTATAATGTACCCCATCGCGTCGATGATTGCTTCTCTCCGTGAGATTCTACGCTGACTCTCCTCTCGTCACAGCGACTGCCCTCGGATCTCCTTGCACCGCATCCTCCCCTCTCCCTCCTCCCTTTGCTCCGCATTGGTGGCATACCAAAGCCCTTCTCAGATTTATGGTGAGTTTGTGGGTCTCTGCGTGAGTTTACGGTTCTCTGCGTGAGTCTTTGGTTCAACGTGTGAGTCTGAGTCAATGCGTGAGTCTATGGGTTTCTGTGTGACTATGGGTCTCTGTGTGAGTTTATGGGTCTCTGTGTGAGTCTATGGATCTCTGTGCGACGTATAGGTCCCTTATTGTTGCATCTTCTTAGTCATCTCTCAAGGGCATGCGACAACCCATCTTAAGACTCGTCTCTTTTACCTTCCCGAGAAAATGAGTGAATCTCGGCAAAATGTCGAGGTGCAGTGGAAGGGGTAGGAGGGTGTCCCCTTGGACAGCTGTGAAAACGCGCGCTGCCAGCACACAGACGCCTTTGTATCTCCGCCGCCACGCCACCGTGTCACAAACAACGTTGGAGTTGTAAACGAGGATTCCTGTGATAGCTCCTTGAATGCGATGGTGCGTTGCGTCGAATCGAATGCCAATGCATTAAAAAAAGGTGATAAAGGCACAGCCCTGCAATTGCTCGTTCTCACCACCGCTTGCGGAAGGGCCTACGCGAGAGAGTGCTTTTCGAGAGCCCTTCTAAAGGGTACAGTGTTTTGGCCTACTCTTCCACGCCGAGGCCTCGGAAGAGGCGGGAGCACCCACGCTTTACCCCACCGAGAGCACGGATGGCTACGTATGGTGCGAAAGAAGTTGAACACGTGCACGCACACCGAACACACGACCCCCCTGCCAATGGAGCGTGGGTGAACCCATTCCTGACCGACCGCCGAGTGGACAGGCGCAGAGTGATTTAAGAAGCGGCTGTCGGTGCCGCGCCCTGAGATCGAATTGGCGACTTCTGGACGGGCACGCCGAGTGCGCGATAACCAATTCACAGGGACGTCGGCATCTATTCAAACGTACAACTCATAAAATAAAACCAACAACAAACAAAATCGATATTCAATTAAAATAAATTCCAGCTGACTCCGAGCGGCAATTGGACGAGCTTCAGTGCTCCGAGATAAAGCGGTGGGGGGGGGGGCAATCATCAGATAATTATCCCAAAACAGAGGCAATGCATTCTATACCTAGCCAAGACGACATCGGATCGTGCTCTGCGAGCGCGAAACGAAAAGGCTCCCAACATTCGTCACCAGTTTTGCATCTGCTGTATATACGGTACTGACGTTTCGGGTCTTGACCCTTTTGCAGAGCAAAGAGGAGAGATGTGGTGAGGTTACTTTTTTTTTCTTCCCGTGTGTGACAATGTGACGTTGACAGAGCTCGCATTTGTAAAACGTTTACTGCGCGATGTACGTGTACACTCTTTCGTCAATCCACTGCTGGACGAGGGCCTTTCCAGGCGAGTAGGACCCTAGTGGGATGTATGACCATACTTCACCACGCTGGTCTCTGTGCGGATGGACGACGGTCGGCAGCATAGGCGTTTGGAGCATAGTACAGTACAACGATTGCGTTTGCTGCAACGCCCTCTCCTTGCCCGCAAACGTAAGCGCGTAAGCAGCCCATAAACGCCTGTTAGCTGCACGGCAGTCACCCAGCCAAGCGCCATCCAGGCTCAAAGAATGCCGATTCGCTCTGCCGGGGCCCTCTGCACCGGAGCGGTCGCATTCCGGTCGCGTTGGGCCACAGACGAGAGGATGGCGATGGTTTTATTTCCTCTACCCGTGC